TTAGCAAAATTTAGGGCAGTGCCTTTTGACAATAGAGAGGTCTCTCATCAAGTGCAGGATGGTGGAAGCCATCTGTGCCTCTGCTGAGCCGTGGAGGTGGAGGAAGATCTTAACCTGCCCCTCCTGGGGCTTTGCTGTAATTTTCAGACCTTTTGCCCTCACCTCTGTGTATAGACCCCATCTGAAATAATGTACAGGGTATATAAAATGAATATAGGCAGCTTAATGTTCCTGTTAACAATTGGTTTGTGATGGGTAACTGGGATCCTTCAGACTTCCCATAAGGTTGGGCTGTGAACCTGTTCCCAGTCAATCACCTCTGCCAAAAGATGGGTTGCAGCTATATTATTAATGATTGCTTTATCTGTTTTCTTACATACACCATAGATTAGATCAGGTCAAGGGCTCAAGAGGCGTTTGAAGTGGGTCCCAGTGACATGAGGAGGAGGTCAGACAACCCCTTCCCTTCTTCAGTGCATAATATGAGTGCAGCAGATCTTTTGGGTGTGCTGGGGAGAGACTGAACACGTCAAGAATCATCTCTGGAGTTGTTTGGTACAGCAATCATTGTGCTTTAGGAGGGCTGCCTGCTCTTGCATCTGCCTCAGCTGCTGCCTCTGGTGGTTCTGTGTGGGGACAGTGAACACTGAGCCAGGTAAGCCAAGGCAGGAGAGCTCCCTGAGCACATAAATGAGAAATCTGAGTCTTGTGCTGCCTCCTGATAATGCTGGGCTGGAAGCAGCCCTCAAAATTGCAATTTGTTGGCCAGCTTTGTCACTACAAGGTACTTTTAATTGCTCAAATAATATAAAATATCAGTAGATCCAGCTGAGCAGAGTGCTCTGGCACCTTTCCTCACTTCTGGTGTGCTGGTGAGTCTGCAAATAGGATGGGATGGAATAATTTCAGCTGGAGGGGACCTGCAATGAAATGCACCTAAAGCTCTGTGCAGGCCCTGAGGTGTTCTTACAGATATCCTGCTCTCATCCCCCATCACTGCAGGTTTTGTAAGGGCTTATCTCAGCTCACCTTGTGGACACACCTAGGCTAGTCTTCCTTCTCACAGGATGCATCTTTGTGATGAAGGCACAGTGGAAATAAGGATGACTTTTGCCCAGAAGGTAATAACCCTGTTTCTGCCCTGTGGCTCTTGTTCAGGCACCTTCCCAGGGAGGAGTTGACCCAGTGGGCGTGTGAACTACCAAATATTTCAGCTCCTGAAGTGTTTTTGCTCTCCCAAGTTCCCCCATCACGTGGCAGATGTTCAGATGATGAGCACTCAGTGTGTCCCATGATTGCTGCATCTCTGAAGGGATTTCAGATTTGGGATTTGTCCCAAAGTGGGGAAGCTTGTCCTGAGGGGTGCTTTTAATTCTGGCAGCCAGTGGCACCCACGCTTTTGGCTTTAGCCATTGTAGGTTTGTAATCTCAGCAGAAGCAGGAAGGATCTACACCCAAAACTTTCACTAAAATTAGGCATCTTTAAAATGCAGCTTTTTCTTCCTGGTTTTGTAGCTGTGCTAGAAAGTCATTACACATGGATTTATTTTTCCTTATCTCTTGGATTATCATCAGCTTCCTTCCTTCCTGGATGAATTTATCCAGTGTTCTGATTGCAGCTCCATTTTTTTATATCTCCTGTCTATGAGGTTTAAGATTTTGTATGTTTAACATAACTGAGCTGAGTATTTTGGAGCAATTGACAGCGAAGATAATTTTCCACTAATGAATGTGTTAATTATGGTGAATCTTTTTGGAGTCTACTCACAGATCTGCTTTCTTTTATTTGGCCTGGTGGTTTATTTCTTTATTTTTTTATCCTGATAGTTTATAGTAATCTGACTTTAGAGAGGAGAAGCAGAGACAGCATTCTAGGTTTTAAGAAACTTCAGCAGAGATGCAGACAGCTGGTCAAAGATAAATCCAGTAGGCAAACAGGGTCATGGGTGTCTTAGAAAACAGCCCTTTAAAATACCAGGGCATCCAACAGCTCTTTAGTCTCTTTCTTTGCACTGGGCTTGGAGTTGGATGGTTGGGTGTTGGTTATTTCTGGGCAAATGTAACACAGGGAACAGGGGGGGAAAAAAAAGCAAAGGCCTTTAGGTGTTTAAGGGAAAATATGATTTTAAAATTAAAAGAAACTAGAAGTGGTATGAGGAGGTCATCATCTTCCCAGGGCTAAACTGCTTTCTTCTGTGTGCATGGGGTGCAGGGAGAGAGGGTGGGGTTGGGTGTGCCTAGGGTGTCCTACTGAAACCAGGAGGAATTTTTGTAAGGCTCTCCATGTATTAGGAGAAATTCACATTTTTACTATAACATCTTTAATTTGGTTATTAAGGGCAGTCGTATTTTATCGTGTCTTGGTTGGAATTTACTCTGCCCAAATTTTAAAGCGTTTTATATTGAAACTGGATTTCCCTAAAGCCTTTATCCCAAAGCCTGAATCCTCTGTGAGTCACGTGGTGCTATTTTGGTGTGCATATAGATACTCTTCCTTAGCCATAGAAGGATTTTCTCTTCATTACTATTGAAAAAGGACATTTTTAATTATAAAATAGATACCAACCCAGCTTTACATCAGAATAATGGTGTGATAGAAAACAGTTTGGGCTATTTCAGTGCAAGTGTCTAGATATACTCCAGCTACTATAGCACATTAATCAGCTCTTGAAAAATAACCCTTTCAGTAGTTGTATAGACAAGCCCTGACTGCTTGCCTGGAGAAAGATGCTAAATTCATTTAAACTGTAAATACCAATTGAAGCAATTAATTTTTAATGAAGGCAATGGAAAAACTAGTTTTTTTTTTCATGTATTCCCTGGAATGCCTTTTCAAAGGCTTTGCTTTTCCAAAATTCCTGTCTCTCATGTGTGTGTGGCACAGGATGTGACTTGGTTCACAGCAGGTAGGTTCATTAGTTGGCATTTTGGGTATAACATCCAGCTGTGGAAAGCTTATAAAACACTGGTATTTAGGTCATCTTAATTAGGCCTGGAAATGAAGATGTAAGATAAAGTGGAGTAATTGCACACACTTCCTCGTGGCTGAGCTCCCTCAGTGGGAAGAGGGTGGTCAGCCTGAGCTGGTTTCAGCAGGGCTGCTGCAGATCCACCCCAGCAGTGCTCCTGGGGCTGTGCAGGGAGCTGAGGCTGTGCCAGGACCCCAAAATACTGCAGAATCACTACCAGTGAAAACCAGCCTGAGCTCTTCTGTGCCAAGAGGGGTGGCAGCAATTCCTATCCAGCTTGTGCTGCTTTTTGAGGTTAGCTACCCAAAACCAGGAGGCAGCATCCCTGGCTGCTGAGTTAGGGAAGCCAGAGGAGGCTGAACAGCCAGCAGGGAGCTGGCTGGCCAGTGTGGAAAGCTGCCCTGGAGCTGCTGGGATGCAGTTGGGTGTATTTCTGTGCCTGCCTCAATACCAGTGGCAAATGGAACATCTTCAAACCCATCTCTGCCAAGCTATTGGCAGTGGAGTTGAGGACAGTGTGCAATTTGGGATGAGGAGGGTTGCAGGAGCAGCTGGAATATGCATCTGGTGTTGTACAAGCACCTAACTGGTATTCACTGGGTGACTAGCTGGATAAATTGAGTTTGGAGAAGGTGGTGAGGTTGTACTGTGTATCCCTGACTGATGCTCTTGGTCTCTACTTCTTTGCCTGCACCATCAAGTTCTGCACACCCTGAAATGAAGACTTCTATATTTTCTTAGCTTTTTGAAAGTCTATCCTATCTATCTTGCACCAAATCTTCTCAAATTCTCATTCAGACAAAGCCTGAGGGGATTTAGGTTTGCATATTTTCCTAAGAGGATTACACTTCACACTTAGTTGCTCTATAAATTGTTTGAGGGTTTTTTTTTTAATGATTTTCTAAGTACACAAAAAGCCACATACACGTTCAGACTGTCCTGAGATGTGTTATCTAGGGGTTAGGAATAGAAATCTAGTGTTTGAGCTCGTAGTAAACTGAATGACTGAACCTCAGGGTTATTCTGCACTGAAAAACATTTTGGTAATCAGATTTGCAGCATGTCTGCAGGAGCAGTTGTAGCAGCACAACTGGAGAGGCTGGGAAATTACAGGAAGGATTAGAAACTGCTTACACTGGCATGAGGGAAAACAATTTCTTGTGGAAATACAGCCCAGGAATAAATGAATGAGCCCCCTTCCAAAGGAGGAGGGTGCTCATAACACAGGGAGATTTTGGAAACTCTTTACTTGCAGATCAAGGGAGTGAGGCAGCTTGGTGGGAAGAATATTAAGCTAATTGGGGGGAAAATAGTGGTAGTCTACAAGGACTTTTATCATCTAAGTTCTTGCTCATAAAATCCCTGGCAAGGTACTGTACACCTCAGCCACTGCTGCTAAAACCAGCCTTGCAGCAGGGCTTCTTCCCTGCCTGCCAGGACAGACAGAAGACCTCAAGTGCTGGAGTTTCTTTCCTTCATTCCACTGGAGATGGAGGAGGGATCTGCCTCAGACATGGCACACTGGTTTAGAACAGCCAGACCTCACCTGTGCTGCTCAAATGAGTGGTCAGCTCCCTTTTAAGTTGCTGGTTTGTGCCCAGTGCTGCTGGCTCATCATCTTCCATCTCCCTTCAGTCACTCCTCACACGTGGGATGGGATGGACATGGCTGAGAAACAAGCAGCATTTATTTAGTAAAAAGGGCAAGGGGCAAATATAAATGTTGCCTGTGAATGGCAGGCAGACTCTGTGGATCCATGTAGGTGTTATTTTACCAGAGAGCTTTGCAAGCTACCCACAGCAAACGTGGGACTCGTGTTGGGACGTTTCAACTTCAGTTTGGCTACAAAAACTTCTGGTTGGTAGGGAATTGAGTTAGTGGGGTAAGCAAAACAGGACAAAATGGATTCCTATCCAAAGGTGCAGCTCAGCTAGTGAACAGCCCTTTGTGAGCTCTGCTAAATAACAGCTGGGAGGATTTTCTCATGCCTTCTGACCAACAGAGACCTTTTGTGTTGTGTTTTCTCTGCAGCCGCCGGCTGATCTCCCAACGATCTTCTCTGGAGACTCTGGAGGACATTGAGGAGAACGCCCCGCTGAGGAGGTGATGCCATCCACTCTCTCTGGTTGTCTCTCTGTGAGGCACACACCCAGCCTTGCTGTCCCTGCACGTGTTGGGTGTCACATTGAGGTGTTCTTAACAGCGAGTAAAGAGAAACCTCACACCCTCTGCAAGGTAGCAGGGGACATGAATTACACACTCCTTGGCACTAGGTGATTAAATGAAAAGTCAGTATTCAAAGAAAATGTCAGGAAATAATGTCAAATTTGATGAGTACAGAGTTTTATCACTAACAGCAACAACTAGCCTCTAATTTACATAGTACTTTTAAAAGTAAGTATCACTGCTCTGATCTTTTGAAGGGTAACATTTTGTATTCCCACTTTTCATGGCTTTTGATTATTCCTTCTGTGGCACACGCAATCTTGTTTTGGTAACCAGCATTCCTGTCTCTGTTTTGGCTGGTAGGCTCGTGCCTGCTGCCTCCCTAATAAATCTGTCCTCATCCTTGTTATCTCAGCAGCTTCAGTGCAGTTTTATTTCTGCACCCAGGAGGCCACAGCTCCTCTGGAGACCACAGTAATTAGTCACCAGGCAATCCTCTGGGGTGATGGAAAGTGGAGCAACTGCTTAGCAGCTCAGAAGCAGGCTGATCAGTAACCTGACCAGCGTGTGGTATGCTTCCAGGTCAGCTGTTTGGCAAGGTGGCAGCTTCATTTTGAATGCCTCGTTATCTGGGGACCTGTAATTGAGCTGGTTTGGGTTTGATGCATAGCCTATAGCCTTGTTTATCCACGTGCACATTGGCTGCCTCTCCCCACCTTGAAGCAAAGATTTGCTAGCAGAGGCTGTACCAACTGGCCTATTACCAAGGCTTGATTATTTTTGCCAGGCTTACTGCTGAATGCTTACAGCACCTTATGAAGCATTCTCATAAATGATTCAAACACGTGCCAGTGGCCAAAGACATAAAGCATCTACTTGCTCATTTGCACAACTGATGGCAGAAGCTCTCTCCAGGTGGTATTTTCCTGTGAGGAATCTAAATGCAAACAGAAGGTGAGGGAAGCTCAAGGAGTTTACCAACAAGGAAGGCAGAAATGGCAAAAAGAATAGAAAAAGAGGAAGAGGAAAAGGAATGGCAAAAAAAATGCCCGTGCAGTGTGATGGGCACAGTGATGGGGACTGGTGGGCTGGGGTTTCAGTCCAACAAAAAGACCTCTTGAGGTTGCAAAACTGCTGAGCTCTGCCTGTGCATGGCAGAGGATGGGAAAAATAGGTTGGGGAGGCTCAACAGGTAGGGGCTGTGCTGGTCCTGTGCACCAGTGGAGGATGCTCATCCCTTCAGGTCTCTTGAGGTCCCTGATCTCCCCCGGGGGGTGCAGCAGGTGGGGTCCAGCAGCCCTGGCTGTGCAGCCAGCAGAGGAATTAACCCTGGTGCCTGCACCCCGTGCTGTGCCTTCCAACCAAACAGCACCCAGATGAATCAGAGAGAGCTCTCACAGCCTTTCATGTGGTTGTGGCTTCGGCTGATTGAAGAGAGAAGGCTGGCAGGGGGGAGGATATTGCTGCTTCTCTCATCTCCCCTCCCTCTGGCAATTTCTTTCTCTAACTGCAATTTTTAACAGCCTGTGCAGATGTAAAATAGATTTAAGGATTAATGTTATGAAGGAAGAATTTTTTTTTTTCCTGAGGTGATTTATTTCATTTTTGGTTGTTTTCTGTGCTGTCAGGAATTTGGAAACTAATGTTTAGAGTTAAAAGCAGATAGGAATTATCCTTGCAAATGAGAGGTTTTAAATCTTTCCAAAATTAAACCAAGAAAGAACTTTCCTCAATGGCTGAGGAGGATAGAAAAGTGTAGGTGTTGGTGTGAGGGGGAAAATCACATATTTAACAGGTTTTGTTTGAGTTTAATTTTTATTTCCCTCTTAAAGCTTGGGATAAACTGTCACAGCAGATTACAGGGAGTTTTATTTTGCTGAGTTTTTTTTTTTTATTATGTATTCTTTTGCATGAAGGGAGGAGTTGTGGTGCCTTTTCTTCTTCTTATTTTAAATAATTTCTTTTATTTGTGCTGTTGCATTTCCAGACTCATTGTCTTGGTTGTCCTTGCTGATTCCTAACACAGGGTGACTGGAATCATTTGTCTCGTCTTTCCTTCCTGCCTTTGTGTAGACTCCTTGGCTGTACAGCAGGGAACTGAGTGCTTGTATTTTTTTTTTCTTCCCCCTTCACCCCCCAACTAATTTATTTTTCAGATGTCGGACACTCTCAGGATCACCCAGACCAAAGAACTTTAAGAAGGTTCATTTTATCAAGAACATGAGGCAGCACGATACCAGGAACGGCAGGTACTGTGGCTGCAGAGCTGGCTGCTGCAGAGTCAGCCCCTGGGATGCAGGGGAAGGGCAGGGCCAGCATCACTCTGCAAGGTGCAGGGTGCCAGTGCCACTCTCTGAGCCCTCTCTGAAACCCCTGAGGTGTCACAGCACATCAGCCTTGCCTTTCACATAAGAGCCCAGCTTTGAAGGCATAGGCACAGAATATATTGTTGAGTGGTGAGTTTGAGAGCTAGGCTTTCAAATAGCTGCTGCTCTCAGGAATTGTTCTGCTGGCTTGTCCCTCTGAGTGTCCCAGGAAAGAGAACTGCAGTGTGGGGAGTAGCTCAGGGCTCCTTTCTCTGCTCACTGCCCCCATTTACAGCTCTCAACCTGTAAAGTGACACAAAAAATGTCTTTGTCCTGTGGCACTGGGAGCTCTTCCCCTTTTAGCTCCAGGGATGACATGCACTGAGTGATGATGGTCTGGGCCTGGCCTTCAGCAGTGCAGTGGGAAGGCAGGACTGGCTGTGGTTAAATAGTTCAGTTATTTAGCAATGGGGAAAAAAACACCTATAGACAGACCACAGCTTATCAGCTGGTCCTTGTAAAGCTTCCCATCGATGGGTCTGTGCACTGGTTAAACTGGTTTCTTTGGATTTGTAGATGGGTGCAGGGCAGCAATGCCCCAGTAGTCAAAAATCATCAGTCAGAAAAGAAACTGGAGTGTTCCTCATGTGTATGGTCCATTTGGTGTGTATCCCATTGCCTGATTGCAGCCTTTGGAGTGACACAATCAAACCTAGACAAACACTAAAGGAGAGAGATGTTATTCTTCTTTAAGTCAAGTAAATTCCTGATTCTGTTGAGAGCTTTGTGCTGAGTAAGTTTTTGTAGTTTCATAGCATGTAACTCATGGAAGAAATTGGGAGATTAGCTTCTAGTCTCAGACAGCTGCACATTGTCAGAGCTCTCTTGCAAAATAATGGTTGCTCTGAGCCATAGTAATTAGTACAACTTCTTGCTGAAATGTGAGAATTAGAGAGTGAAAACCTTTTCATGAAGTAATTTCAGGCAGATCTAGGTGGCAGAGTGGTAATCAGGGCACATAATCCCACTCTGACTCAGGCTGCTTCTGATGTCATCAGACAGAGCTCATTCAGAGCTGTGCAGGATTGTTCAAGAGTTGAAATCCAGGGAAGTGCTTTTCTCCTAGAAACAGTAATTCAATTTTCTTGAGCAGCAAGAGGCTTCCACCACCCCTTCTTCTCAAAGAATACTGTGTGACTTTCTGGACTTTCTGCTCCAGTAAACCACTGCAGGCCCTCAGAATTGTTTTTGTTTTCCATTAATATCATCAGACCTCTAAACAAAGTGCTGGTTTACCCTCCATGATGAGCTTTTGAGCACTGCCTTCCCTGCTTCTCTTCCAGTCCAGTTCCTAATGCTGTTTTGCACCAGCCCCTGCAGATGAAGTTTTGTGCCAGCCTGGCAGAGGAGACCATGGGCTCCTCTCCTGCTCTGTCTAGAAGATCCTTATGTAAGGAGGGTTCCCCATGTTATGGAGAGAGATGCAATATGTTGATCCCAAGGGAAAGGAATCTGAAAAATACCAGAGGCTGAGCTGGTGCTGTTTGTTTCCTTTCTGGTCTGATTCCTTCTGATACACACAGCAAGTCTGCTGTGGTAACTTCCCACTGTTGTCTCTGCCTGTGGACATGGAAGCATCAGTTTGTTTTTCTTTAAGTATTAAAAGTCAGGGTTTTTTTTTTTCTTTTAGGGAGGTGTAGAGTGTTGTTGGAAGAGCTGTGTTTCCAGAAACAACCAGAGGGAGTGGGGGGAATATGCTTAGTGGGTACCCTGGCTTTCCAAATTCAAAGATGCTTTCTGATGTCAGCCTTGAAATCGGTGCCAAGTTTCATACATCAGCAAACAAGGCTTCCAGTGAACAAGCAAGCTGTTGTGAGTAGCAACCATTCAGCAATAAGCAGTGGCAAGCACAAAATTAATCATATGCCAGGGTTTTTTTTTTTTCTTTTTGCCTGTGGATTGCTTTTCTCAAATGTGAAATATTCCCTCTGTGCTTTAACTTACTGCTGCACCATGAGACCATCTGACAGGACCTGAGGTATTTACCATAGGCAAGAGGCATTACAGCATTCAGACAATCAATGAAATCATATTTCATCTGCTGCAGGAGAGCTTCCTAATGCTGTGTGCATGTTTATTATTAGAAACCCCCCTTTGTTAAAGGGTAAATACCACTTTGCTTTTATGCGTGCAATTAAGGAAGAAGTAAGATTGCTGGAACAGAATAGCAACAGAAGAGATTCAGGAGAAGGAAAATTGATCATTCTGCATTTTTCCAAGCTTTTCCAGCAGCTCTCTTGAGGACTAAATGTTTTCCAAGAGTGACTAAGCTGGTCCCCTAAGGAAAGAATGTTTTAATAACAGTGTAACTGGTAGGAGATTTATAGATGCTTATGGTGGTTTTGGGACAGTAAAGAACAAAACAGCTTCCTAGGGTTTGTGTTCCCAGTGTTGACCAATGATGAAAAATTTGGGTGAAAACCTCCCATACAGATCTGTGGCACACAACATCAGAAGAATCAGTGCTGGAGAGCAGAGCAGGGAAGTGCAGTAGCCCTGACAACCAGCCCAGCAGTAGGTGCCAGCATTTGGAACAGGAGCATAGATTTTTAGGAGGGTAAAAACATCAGTAAGTTCCAATACCAAACAAATTAGAAGAGGGCACAAATTGCCATCACTGTGTCTTAGAGGGGATGCAGCCTGTTGGCCAGCTTCAGAGGGAAGAAAGGTCTTTTTTAGCACATGTTGTACAATTGTCATTGCCCTGAAGGTAATAAGAATAGAGGATATGTTGATCAACAATCAGTTATTTATTGGCATTTTATATCTTATGCCCTCAGGCTTCTCTTGGCTTCTTGCCAACCAGCATCTCCCAAAACTGTAGTGATGTAACTCTTGTCAGTCCACAGAGTTTCATGGAAAGTGGGTCTTGACCTGGAGGTTGTTTTGATGTTGCTTAATAATATGTCAGAGCGTGGTGGCTGAAGGCAGTAGTGTGGTGGTAAAACAGGTAGGTTGCTCTGAGGGACTGGATTTAATGCCACACAGTGACTTTGCAGGTGATGCAGAGGTTTTGAGACTGGTTCAACTGACCTCAATGCTCCAAACAGTGAAAGGACCTGAAAGTTTGACAGTAGCAAACTTGGACTTCATCCATGAATCAGGCTATTTCAGGAACAGGAAGGTGAAAATCAAGGGACTCCTTTGGTTTGGTGGAGAAGGGTCATTCCTCAAGGGTAACATCTGTTGCTTTGCTTAATTGTGGTGGGATTTTTCAATTTTAGTCTTTGATTTCTTTTATTTTCTTTTATATTTTAGAATAGTCCTTATCAGCAGCAGAAGATCCTTCTGTAGCATATTTTCAGTGCTGCCATATCGAGACTGTACCCAAGTCGGGTATGTATATCTCTCCATGTTCTACACAGTCTTTCTGGGCCTGCATGGACACCTGGTCATGGACAACAGCATGATGGAGGCTGATGCTTTTACAGATCTGCTCTGAGAAGAGGGAAATGCACGTAGGGATGTTTGCCTTGTGACCAAGTTAAAACTGCAGCTCTCAGTCTCCAGTTTATTTATATGTGTCGTGGTATTAAACTGGAGAAAACTACCCCTCCCTAATATCCATGAAAAATGCACTGGTTTATTGTTTCTTCTGACCTCCCTCATCTTTGACAAAACAAGTACTCCAGGCAGCACGAGTTCTAGTTTATAAGCTTAGTTTTCTTGTTCCCCACAAACATAATGCCACTGTATCTACATTTCCAGAACTACAGAGGAATATTTGGATTTAAATGTAATAGGTCTAGGTTAAAAACCAATGATAAAAACCAATAATAGGTTTTTGTTGTACTGCTCAGATCATTCTGTCAGTGAAAACATTATTTTGGCTGTCATACCATACAGGTTCTTAGCTGAGGTAAGCAGCATCCATGGAGCTGCCTTCAGTGTGCTGAGACACTAGACCTCTGATAGAAAAGTTGTTCTGGATTGAAGCAGTTCTCCAAAGACTTGAGAAAGCTTTTTGCTCTCCCACTGAAACTGTGGGAGTGGAAGAAGCTGGCTAGGAGAGGTTGCCTGGTAGACATCTGCTTGGCTTGCTGGGTGCCCCCAGAGGTGCAGCACAGTGCTGGGAAGGGCAGTGCTGCTCGGTGGCAGCTTGATGTTCCTGGGGCAGAGGAATAAAGAGTGGCCACCGTGGCCACTCAGGGGAGAGCTGAGAGTTGCCTGTCGTGGGCATCAGCTTGGCACAAAACTTTCAGGAAGTATTCCTTTGATAAACTGAGGTGGGTTTGAAATCAAGTCGAATATATCCAGCGTCTAGAGGATGAATTTGGCTCCTATTTTTCAGCTATCTATTTAATTCTGGAGAGTGATTTGCCACAAGCTGCTCGTGCATCAGTAATTCAAAACAAAGGGGGATTGTTTTTAATGCTCAAGGGAAAGGAGGCAGCACTGTAGGAGAGTTGACTTGCTCTCCTGTCTCTCACAGGAAATTTTTTTCCCTTAATTAAACCAGGATGACACATCAGACAAATTCTTGACAGACTGACAGCTTTGTTCATTCTTCTTGGGCACACTGTCATTAATTTATGGTCATTGCCCTGTGGAAATTGCCTCTTTATTGAAAACTGAATATATTTTGAAATGCTGATGGCTGGTTATACCTTCTAAATGACAACAGTACCAAGCCCAGCTGCAAACCTCAATATTATTTCAGTATGTAATGTCCTGTACCATGCTTGAGCAGCAAGAAGGGCATGGGGTGAGGAGGTAGCAGGTTACCAGTACAGAACAATACATCCCTGCTCCTTTTGCTAGAAATTCAAGATTAAACAAACAAACAAAAAAGTCCCCTATCTTTCTAGTAGTGCAAACACTACTGAATAATGGATGAAAAGAAACAAATCATTGTTGCAGTGAATCCTCCTCACTCCCTCAACTGAGGTTTTAAGTGATTGTCCTGGAGGCTGTGGGGAGGAGAGCTGGGGAAATCCACGAGAGGATGAGTTGGAGCTGTCCCCTGGAACAGGCTTCCCAGGTCCCCCTCCCCAGCAGCCAGGCAGCAGGATTTTGGAGGCAGATGTTCTCCAGAGCAGTGCAGAGGCTGCCAGTGGTGGATGGAGGGGAGGTTGTTCCAGCCGTGGTCTCAGAAAGCTGATCTGGTGGTGCTTGATAGGGCCATGGAAGGGCACCACATGCTGCAGGACTTGCTTTCTCTAGCTGGCTGTTACACTGAGGAGAAGTGAGAAGCACAGAGTGTGACATGGTGGGGAGAGAGAGGTCAAACAAGTAATCACTTCTGATTACACTTGCTTACAAAGTAGAGCTTTCTGTCCTCAGAATTGTGTCCATCCCTTGTATCTGATGGAAACCTGAGGCTTTAGCTTATAGTGCTGTTGTGTAAGGAAAAAGGAGAGAATTAAAGCTGGACTGGCATTGTGAGATGCATTGTCTCTAGTTGGAGTTACTGAGAGGCAGGAATTTGTGTGGGTCAGGGCCATAAACTCTCCAGGTCTGGCTAAAGCTTGTGAGCAAAACCCGTGGTGAGGAGGCGCAGCAGTGACTCCTCAGCCTTTGCTGGCGTGGTGGGGAGAGATTTGGGCCTTATAAAAACTATTTCTCCTCTCCTTTCGTACCCTTCACTGGTGTACTACAGGCCACGCTGGCACCCCAGGATTCTTTGCCAGGCAGACTTCCAGGCAGAGGAAGAAGGGAACGCGTTCTCCATCGCTTGCTTGCTCGTGGAGCTTTCCTAGGCACCACTTCTCCTCCAGCTCCCCGGTGCAGCCCTGGCAGTGCTCGGGGCAGGCGTCGGGGTAACTCGGGTGCCCTGCAGGAGGCTGGCGTGTGTTTGCAGCCAGCTCCCACCCGCAGGCGCAGGGCCCTGAGGATGTTGGAGCCAGGCAGGGGGGCGTGCAGCTGTGACTGGCGGAGCTGAGTGCCGGGGGCAGGGGTGTTGGGAACCGTCCTGCAGTGGGCGGAGCCGCCAGGCACGGCGGCCTTGGCAGGAGTGTGTCCAGCGGAGTGAACGGGCCTCAGGGGCCGGGTCTCAGGGGCAGGCGTGAGACCTGGGAGCCACAGGTGAGTGACGTGCACATGACATGACACTGACACATGTGCAACACACGTGTGCATACATTTAACACGTGTGTCCATATGTGTTACATACGTGTAACACGCGTGTTCATATGTGTAACATGCATGTTCATACATGCAGCACACATGCTCATGTTACATATATGCAGCACATGTGTCCATGCATGTAGCAGGCATGTCCGGGCGTGTAGCAGGCGCATAACACACGTGTTCATACGTGTGGCAGGCGTGTCACACGCGTGTTCATACGTGTGGCAGACGTGTCACACGCGTGTTCATACGTGTGGCAGGCGTGTCACACGCGTTTTCATACGTGTGGCAGACGTGTCACACGCGTGTTCATACGTGTGGCAGGCGTGTCACACGCGTTTTCATACGTGTGGCAGACGTGTCACACGCGTGTTCATACGTGTGGCAGGCGTGTCACACGCGTTTTCATACGTGTGGCAGACGTGTCACACGCGTGTTCATACGTGTGGCAGGCGTGTCACACGCGTTTTCATACGTGTGGCAGACGTGTCACACGCGTGTTCATACGTGTGGCAGGCGTGTCACACGCGTTTTCATACGTGTGGCAGACGTGTCACACGCGGTTCATGCGTGGGTCAGGCGTTTTCACACGTGTCACCAGCCGGCCCCTCTGCCTGCCCCGGCGTGTCTCTGTCTCTCCCCCGTGCCGCCGCCCGGGCCTGGCCTGGCCCTGAGCTCCAGCGGCCTGTCCGGCAGCCAGCCCTGTGTCCTCAGCAGCGCTGCAGCCGGCGGCCAGAGGGAACTCGGGGTCACGCTGCCTTGAGCTGGGGGCTGCCCAGAGCTCTGCTGAGGTCAGGGGTGTGAGAGCAGGAAGTTATCCCTGCCCTCACCCCAGGTGAAACAAAGTGTATCACCTGAATTTGATAGAAATCAGGTCATAACGATCGCTGAGTCCCTAGGCCAGGCGTTCCCAACAGCCTTCATTACTGGGCAAGCAATTCCTCTGCAAAATGAGGCAAAAAGAGGCATTTAGGTGAGGCTGTCTCTTACAGCACAACCCTGCTGTTGATAATTTGGCAGGTCAGGTAACAAGCGTTGCAATGAGTGTGGAAAATGACTGTTTACAGGAGCAAGGAGAGCATCTAAATTGCCGTGAGGACAGCAGCAATAAGCACACAGCAAAGCAGGATACTCATATCTTCCAGATTTGGTACCAGTTCCTTGCTCTTCTTCCCCAACAGATTTTTGTACATGAGGTAATTCTGATGAAATCATCAATCTTGAGAGCCTTTCCTGAGCATTCATCTTTTGGTAGGCCTGGGGAAGAGTAGCTATCTGGTTTTAGCTAATAATAGGGAGACTGAAATAGTCCTGTTTTTCTTTACCATCACTCATTTTCCCTACTTCTCCCAAACTGAACAAAAAACAACCCAAGTGCATATTAGCTTTACAGAAAGACACATAAATCAGGGTTTTTTTTCCCGTCACAGGACATTTCTAAACTAATCATCTTATGTATGAATTCTACAGAGCCACCATTGCTCATTTTTGTGAGTTGCACTCTTCCCTTAGATGGAAATTAAGCAGTGAGACTCCAGAAGCTAATAGCTCTAAATTTTGAACTTTGTGTTGAGCAAAATACCAGGACAAGAGTTGATGTGCTGACACCTGAATATGTTTGGGGAGAAATACAGAATAGTGGCCCATCACAGACAGCTTTCCAGGGGTTTTTCCACCTCCTCTCCCTGTAAATTGCCACTGGAGTTGTTGTTCTAGCAACATTAATGACAGTTGGGATCTGAAAGCTCTTGATCAATTAAAGCAGGCAGTCTCAGGCAGTGGGAGCTCTGCTGGCAGCACAACTTTTCCACAGCTCTCCTTGTCCCTAGAAACAGAGACAATAAGTAGAAAATGGGTAAAACCAGTGTCTTTTCTTGATGGCTCCTGTACCACCTTTGCTTTTAGAATAAATCTTAACAATCAGGCAGCACTAGGCGTGCAGGCTTACATCTCCAAATCACAATTATCACATTCCTTTTTGCAATAAGCAGAAGACTTTTTCATGTGTCTAGAAGTCTACTTAATAATTAATGTCTCCTAAATTATTCACAGGTTAAAGTGTTCAACTGTTGCTGTCATTTAAAGAGCAAGTGCCCAGCAGGAGTCCTGCATGGGGCTTTGTAGATCACATCAAAGCATAACATTTGATTCATTAAAGAAATGTTAGACTTTCAAAGGTAATTAGCATCCAATTTATAACCCCTTAATCCGGGCCTAATAGACATGGTAAAATTTCCATGGTTTTGATTCTTAGCTACCTGCTCAGTAAAACTTTTCACCATCCCCTAAAAAATTTGGGGTTCCAGGTCACTTGGTGCTGTTTCAAGATCTGTGAACAATGTTAGGTGGAGAAACCTTCATATTTTTCTACAGTCCTGGATAACAAAAGCAATATGGCTATTTTTGAGTGTAGTTTGTAACACTGCTCAGCTTTCTGGAAGTGGTGTGCAGGAGTAGAGCTTGACATTGCTGTATATCGTGGTATCTCCCCAAACTTTGTCAGAAACTGGGGTGTTGCCTCCTAAGGCAGTGTCATCCCTGGTCTTCCCATTTCCTCAAGCTTTCACTGCTCAAATAAAGTGAAGGCAGTAAAATTTAAGTTTCCATGAATTTTGCTTTTCGATGGCTGCTTGGATCCATGGAAAAATTTGTTAAAAACTACTTCTGGAAAATAAAATGGGAAAATCAAGAGTGAGGAAGAGGAGAAAGGCAGTTTTCTTCACTTAAAAGCCTCTTTGGCAAGGACCTTCTTTCCTACTCTGCGTTTTGTAAGCACCTTGTACTGCTGGGTGTTGGTTTGTGCAGTTCCTCAGTCCCACCAGCAATCTAAATAAATTAATCACAATTAAAGCTTGAATTTTTTGAATAGGAAGGATGTATCCTCCCTGTGTTCATGCTCCACAGGGTCCATTGACCATGCTGCCACAGGAGGGCATGTGTCCTGAAGAACTTGGTGGCTGTAGTTGGCAACACTGCTGCTGTGGCTGTACCCAAACAACTGTCCTGACTCTTCTCCAAGCAGGACTCACCCGTTTGGAGGACAGAGCAAAGGCATCCCCCAGGTCCTTCCCAGTTGCTCTTGGGATTTTGGGCATGTGGGGAGGAAACAGCTGCGCTGGGGCTCGTCCAGCACAGGGTGGCAGCCCTTGGGCAAGAACTTTGCTGAGGCATTCATAAATGTTTTATCTGTAGCAGGAGAGAAGGAAAAAAAATCAAGGCTTGTACTGCAGAAACGTCAGTAGCTCACTGTTGGGTTAAGGAATGAGGAACTCAAAGAGGATATATGGCAGAGTGGCCTGGGAATTTGATGTTGGGTGTTCACTGAGATCTTTACCAGTGAGAGAAGGATATATATGTATAAGCTAGGATGAGCCTTTCCATTTATATGCTGATAAGAAACTGTGCGTTGTTTAGTGCTGATTTTCCTCAAGAGAGGGAGTTTAGTTCTGGTTTATGGACAGGTTTCTCTCCAAACAGTAATGTTCTGTTACTCTGGCTTACAAGATAAGCAATCATAGGCTACCTGGACACACAGAGCATATGTAGAGAAGGGGAAGACCCTAAGAAGCCCTTGCAAAATACCTAGGATGAGGGAATCAAAATGATTTCCAATCATTTGGGTTGGAAAAGACCTCCAAGATCAAGGGAGAATGAGAGCAGCGTTGTTCACAGGGTCCTGGGGGTAGTCTTGTTGAGAAACAACAGAAAGATGGGGAAATGGAGCTGGTAATTTCCATCAATCTTCAGCTAATGCCCAGGAACCCTTCCCATGTGCTCACACGTGCCAGCTGACCCTCCTCCCAGAGCACCGATTTCTTTTCAGTCCCCAGAGCTGCTCTTTTATTTGTTTAAAACCCTTCAAAGGGTGCCAGATTTCCACTTCATGAGTTACAGCCCTGTCTGCCCTGGTCAGTCCATCGCGTGGAGAAGTATCCCTGTGACTGCTTTCCAAATTGTAACAGCATTATTTCATCCTCTGTGTCCGTCAGGTGTTGAGTGGGAGGAAACTAAACTGTTCTGATATTACTTCAGGTAATTCAGGTCTTTGTTTCATTTTTGGCTGTGGGGGCTTCCTCCAGCTGTGTGTTCTGCAGATAAGACCTGCTGAAATGGTTGCTACTTGGCATTTATCTCTATGAGGAGTAGTTGCTTGAAGCACATCCTGCACGGGAGTGGAGAGGCTGATTCCATGCCTCTGACAGGAGGTTATTTTTACATCATTACTTGTCCAGCCCCTCAGTAACATTATACCAGGAAACAAGAATGATAATGTGACACTGTGCTAAGTGAACCCCAGTCCAGAAACCAAGAGGACTTTGTTAGGGTTAGAAACTTGATATGATCTTTTCCTTTGTCACAGAAAAGATGTTTTCCAGTTGGATTTTTCCATGATTTATTTGGGACTTGTCAGTTGCTATGTTTTAGAGAAATAAAATGAGTGACAGATTGGAAGGGGAAGACAGGGAATCAGGCTGTGTAGAGTTACAGTAGGAGAGCCCAGCCCTGCAACTGGGCTGCTCCCTGCCTCAGTGTCTCAGCATCTCTCCCACACAGATTTTTAAGCCCAAGCTTGGAGTTCAGCAGAAATCAGCCAGGAGATACTGTGAGAGAAATCCTCTGGAGTTGTACACAGCTGTCCTTTGCAGAGCACATATTCCCTCACAGCCTTTTTTGCCTTCACACACATTTGGATGGTGAGGCCAAAGCGTGGGCTGCAGCCTGGTTATCTCAGGCAGCTTATTGACCTCCAAGTGTAAGGTGCCAACTGGGTGGGTCCTTGTGAAGGTCCCAAGGTGATGGAGAGCTGGGCTAATCCTGCTGGCCTCTGTAGTGTGCTTTAGAGAACACAAGTGCTGCCCATAGGAGAAGCTGTCTGGTCTGAGCTTTGCATCAGCACGTTTGGGTGAATGCTGCTGCCTTATTCCAGCCCTGGGTGGTTGAAGGTGGACAAGGTGTCTGTGTTAACAGCTGGTTTTCTGCTCTGGTTTCTGTGTCCCAGGGATATGAAGCTGGATGGTGGACGCCAGTGCCATTCTGCCAGCGTGTGTCTGAAGGAGATAATTGGTCTTGAAGGTGTGGAGCTTGGAGCAGATGGGAAGGTGAGGATGCTTCAGTTCCTCCTCCCTTTGTAACAAGGGAAAAAATGGCTTAACAAACAACAGGCTGAACTATAACATGTGGTGTGACAGAGTAGTTAGGCACAGTATTTACAAACTGTAAATGAGCTTAGCTGAAATTCAGGAGGGCTGCCCAGGCTGTCAATGCAAACAGCTCTGTCTCCTCCAAGAAATTTGCCTCTGGCAACATCTGGTGTTGTCAAGGACTGTTGAATCATGCAGCTTTCCCGTGGAGGTATCACTGCAGACTATATTGTCAGGGGCTTGAAAATAATTTCTAGTGAGGGTTGCAAGCTGTAAATCTGTTGGCTTTCAATTTTTTTAAAATAAAACACATTTTGCTTAGCAGTGTATTTTTTGAATCAAACAAGGAATTACGAATCGTCAGGGAAAATGATCCATTTTAAACAAATATATAAGGGAAGATAAATTTAATCATAAATGAAAACAGCTTTTGCTGCAGGCCTGATTTACTTTTCATGGTTCAGTTTCCCCAGTCTGCTGTCAAGGATGGATTTAAAGGTCCTAGGTCAGTGCTCCTACACATGGTGTGCTCACCTAACCAGGCTGTGTGTTCTGAGGATAATGTGCCTGCTTAAAAATAAATGAAAGCTCACATTTTTACTTGAGAGCTGTTCTGACCTCCTTGTAAACCAGTCTAGAGTCTGAGAATCGAGTTTTTCCTTCAATATAATGTTATTTTTTGGAAAGTAAACCTATGAGAAGCAAGACACACGTTAGTCCTGGCCAAGGGTATAAGCAGAGAATTGTTACACTCTAAAGAAATCTGTCATGAGTTATTAATTGACACTTAGTCCACGTTGGGAGGTAGTAAATGACCTCCCACAACCACTGGTGTAAACTGGAGCTCACGACAGCAATAAGACTCTGCAAGATCTAGTGGGAGGTGTCCCTGCTCATGGCAGAGGGGTTGGAACTGGGGGATCCTTGTGGTCCCTTCCAACCCTGACAGATTCTGATCTGTTTTAGCAGAGGGCTTAGTAGTGTTGGCTTGATGGTTGGACTTGATGATCTTGGAGGTCTCTTCCAACCTAAAGGATTCTGTGACTTGCCTCTGCCAGCTCTGTGTTGAGGGACCCTTAGAGACGATGCTGTTTCAGGAAAGAATGAGCTGGAATCTGCTACAAGAGGAGGCCCACTGTAAAAAACCTGCCCAGTTTGACACAATCTGATCCCTGAGTGGGGTTTTATAAACCCAGTGCACTAGAGCTTGTGTGTGTGTGTGTGTGTGTGTGTGTGTGTGTGTATCTATCTGTGGTTTGGTTTTGTTGAAGAATTAATCTTTGCAGAAGCTTTGTTTTTGCACGGATACACTGACTGCCCAGGAAATCCTCCCCTAATTTGGCTTCCCTCACGTCCAGTGGGGATGCACCAGAGGCACGCCACACAGGGGAGCTGGGCTGAGGGTAACTGTCTCTTCTGGCTCTTTGCAGACCGTCTCTTACACACAGTTCCTGTTCCCCACCAACGCTCTGGGAACGCGAAGGAACACCATTGACTCCACCTCCTCCTTCTCCCAGCTGCGCAACGCCAGCCACCGCAGCCTCTCCTTGGCCAGAGCCAACAGTGCCCAGGGCAGCATCGACGCAGGTAAGGTACCTCCTCAGGGAGATGGTTTTCATACCTGTAACAGGCGTGGCACACGCGTGTTCATACGTG